TAATTGACTAACAAATAGTGTCCATAGATTTTAAGAGATTATCCGATCCTGGCATACCATACAAAACTTAACAACTGCAAGATTTGATCTGTGGAAGCTCGGAGTAAAGCTGCGAATATGGTCAACGATTTTTAACTTTTTGTGTAGGTGAACAGTACTTGTATGTTTATTCTTCTTTTGCGAGTCCAAATTAGTGCTCGCACTGTAGCAAACTTTTGCACATTTTCCACATATCGAATGGTTTGTGGTCGTTTGACTACAAAACAATACTTCTAGTCCGTAGTGAAATTATTTTCACTCATACACGAATTAGTGATCCCATCAAAATTCAAAGCAATTTATTCCGGCTCAAAATGACAGTACGAATCATCAAAATTTGCACATGTTTGTCCATGGCGTTCGCAATCTTTTGTTCTATAACTATTTACGTGGAGCACATGGATCGTGCTTTTGTTACTTCTCATCGTGACTCGTGTTTTGAATGTAAATTATGGAATAGAAAACTTACTATTAATTGAAATTCGATAAATCCTGAATACGATCTTAATGCTTGTTGGTGGTGATAGATCGTTTGAGATGTTTAAAAGTCAAATTTCGCTGTGATTTTTCTGAAGCATTTTATTTTAATCAGGTTTGAAAATTCAACAACACCTTTGAAGTTTCTTGCTTGCAAATGAACAGATAAAGCAGATTATCATTCCTAAGTAAATAATGTTTATGTGGAGTACTGTTCAAAAACGTTTGCGTCGGCCGGGATTCGAACCCAGCTCTCACTCCTTCCGCTCCCGGAAAAAGTGAGATCTGGGTTCGAATCCCGGCCGACGCAAACGTTTTTGCACAGTACTCCACATACTGGGTATACTATAAAGATCATACCACTGCAAGTGGCAGTCAAAATAGAAAGAATTTAAACTGATTATCGATATTTAATGTCTGTCAACACAAGTGGGTTCAATGCCGATAGCGGCTGGCCTGGCCAGACCGTCTACGGTTCGCTGTTGGCAGACAACGCGTTATAGCGCAAATAAGAGTGCTGTGCAAAGGGAACGTCGGTAGTGCAATGGCTAGAATACGCTCCCGGAAAGAATGAGGTCTGGGTTCGAATCCCGGCCAACGCAGACACTTTTGCACACTACTTCACATATTGGGTATAATATAAGATCATACCACTGCAAGTGGCAGTCAAAATAGAAAGAATTTAGACTAAATAATGTTTGTAATTTTCCAAATGCCTCACTTATTGAGGAAATCATCAGCAATTTGAGATAAACGAGCCTAGGATTCCGAAAGATTAGAAAGAAACTACGCGAATACTTTTTCTGTTCACCTAAGTATGAAACGAACAAGAAATGGTCCCGATGACGAAATCGTCTTTTTTTTCTTATCTTTTTTCTTCGTTAACAGCAGGGTCCTAGTTGTTTTCTCAGTCCCCTCCATCACAACACATATACTGTGCGAAGATGCTAAGATTAGATATGTTAATAACCTTACTTAATAATTTCAAATGTTTTAAGAACTTCAATTTTTCTTAGATAAAATTTGCGCAAGGGTTGTTTTTTCTCCGTTTAACTTTAGTGCCTTACGTTTCGGCGATTTCGCCATTCTCAGAGCCTAGACGAAGTGCAATATCAAACCATATCTAATCATTCGACTAATACTACGTACGTTTGGTGACATTATAGTGAAAAAGTCAATACCTACTTATTGCACTGAACTTACCGTCTAACTACTCTCTCAAATGCACAGTTTGTTTTACACTCAAGGAAAAGAGCAGTAATCATACTTACTGATAAAACCATGGAAGTTTGAATTATTATGAAGGGTCTTGGTCTAAAACCATCTGCCTTCCTACTATGTCTAATCAGATCTGTCACCATTGGGACCTCCTCAGATGTTCTCTCTAACAATCTTAGCATAGACTTATTGATGGTAATGTGACAAGAGAACTTTCCCAGGACCGTATAAGATACGTCGAGCTCACATTTATGCTAGTTTTATGAAGAGTGTAAACAAAATGACTGCCAATGGCCTCTTTCACTTCTCAATTGTAAAAACATGGTTGTCTCCTTGAGCTACTCTGTATCACCTGTCCACTTGTAAATTAAGAATTGGCTCAAGTAGGCAATGCTAGTTTCTAATCGCCCGTGGCGTTTTAGGGTTACCTGCCGCTTTATACTCACGATGAAACTCACAAAGTTATATTGCTCTCTTCGAACCTTTCTCACGAGGTTTCACCGTGTTGTCAATGGTTTTCTTTGTGCCGTTCACCTGCCAAGGTACACAGTTGCTAACGCTTTTCTTCTCCTGCCTGTATGGTAATTGGTAGCTATAATGTCACATTCATGACGTCACATCTGTAATGTAGGCTAATTTCTGCTTGTCGATAAGTTGGGCATTTTGCAGCTGTTGCTTCTCGTCTTCATTATAATCTTGATGCACTTGTAACCTGCCCATGTTGCTTATCTTTTCTGCTCAGATAATCTGAAAAGTTGTTCATCATGCTGAATTGCTAGACCTGCTATACATGCCTACTCCATGCCGCCATTCATGAGGTCAATCATACAGGACATCAGAAATGAATGTATCTTTGTTGATTTTTTCCCTGGAGCATGCGCGTAGCGCAAGAATGAGAAGTATGCTAATATACTCGCTGTCCAATTCAGCGTTCTAGGTTTACTAAACTTTTCATCTTATTCCAAGTTTGAACTAATAATTAGCCTTTTATCGGTAAGAGTAACACACTGACATGATAGATCGCTAGGCTATTGCATGTCTTTGTATAGGTAAGTTATGCATTTATTCACCTTTAACAATACCTAATGATATTGAATATGTGGCACTATTTGGAATTCATTCGATGATTGATCTATCTATAAATGCCTTCAAAGGAGGCCAGTATTTTTTACGTAGTTAATGCTTCATATCATAGAATTAACACAACGACTTCCATTTTGATGTCGTCCCGTTAGAGTTGTTGCAAGGAGTTTTTAACGATTTCAGTAAATAGATTTGTCCAGATGACATTTCATTACCAAAGCAAATCACTGTCCTCATGCCCAATGATATTGTTTGAAGAGAACAACAAAATTTTACAAGTTAACGTACTACATAGCTTGAAAATGTGGCTCCAATGAAGAGGTGGATGCTAAAGAGCTTACAAATTGGAAAATAGGTAGCGATTCTGTATTCATCTCTCTTATTGTCAGCAACACGGTCTTGCTGCTTTTCTAACGTATAAATCTACAGATGATTGCAGGAATTCTTATCACAAAGATAACCTGTATTAGAGGTCGTTTCGCTAATTGCCAAGCAACTCGAATGGACACCAGTAAAGCTTCCATTTTTTCTTATCGCGTGCAATAATGGCCTAATATGTTCTCCTCGCTATAGCAATTCGTTGGGCATCATATCTTTCTACGGCTTTTCGTCAAGCAAGCACATCATCAAGTACATGTGGCTGAGTCATCCTCATCCTGTGACGTAGCGACCATGTGGAGCATAAGTTAAGGCACGAAGAATCGATGGGACTAAAAGGTCAACACGGAGTAGGGTGTTCCTTATTCTCTTCACAATAGCTTCAAATCTCCTAAAAGCTCCCCAAACCTCTCGCTTTCTCCTGATCGACTCTGGAGCGAGGTCGTCCAATTTAATGAGTACCCAATTTAAATGGACATTACTGGAGTGTGCCAAGAGATTTGTTTTATTGAACGCGAATTGCGGATTCAAAATCAATCCGTTCCTCATGAACATCGCTTTTATGATATTTAGTCAAAGACCAATCTTTTCACGAGTATTGTCGAAGTCAGACCACATTTATTTCGTCTGGTTGATGGTAAATGTTACAAAAACGATGTCATCAGCAAGAAGGAGATAGTGCTGTGTAGTCACAGATCACCGATTTTGACTTCTATATTGTACGTTCTAACGTTCGCATGACGTTCTGGAGCGCGGCAGTAAGTAATTCTATTGACATGCTATCGCCTCGTCGACACCTCTTTCTCTGTCGAAAGTAATATTGGTGCAGTATGATGATATCTTGGTTGTAAAATCTTTATATAGCTCACACACATTATGCGCTGAGTAGGCTGTCCGGACTATTCAGAGCCTCCATAACTGCCTCTGTTCAAAGTGAGTCAAAGAGCTTCCCCAGTTCCTTCAAGGAAGGATAAACGATTCGTGAAGTTGCAATGGATATTGCGATCAAGTGGACGTAGTCTATAGTACTACGCTTGCGAAACTGTTCATAGCTGTCCATTGTCCAGTGTTCTATCAATCCTGTTCAGAACTGCTTGAGTAAAGAGTTTATAGAGGACAGGTGGGAAACAGATAGCGTTATGGTTGCTGATCTCGCAAAGGTTTCTCTTTTTAAGCTCTAACACGATTCCGCAGGTTTTTCTATCGATTAGGAATCTTGCGTTCTGCAGCTAATGTGTGAATAGCCGAGTCAATGCGCTAATGATAATTGACGAAGGTTCTTCAACGTTCGGATCTTATCCTCTCCGGTGATAACAGTGATAGTAATATACAAATGCAGGAGAAATAATTGTATTGGCATGCACCAACTTTTTGATTTTTTTTGTCGCTTGTCAAGGACCTAACGGAGAACCGAATCCTTTTTCTCCAAGAAACGCAGAAAAAGGCTTTAGAGAGGTAAAAAATATCTAGAGCTTGTGTTTATTTATTCAATTTTGAAACTTTCTGTCATTTCTGCGGAAGAGAAGCCGAATCTACATGACTACATAAGAAGGCCAGTAACACGATTTACGGTGATATGACCTGTTCCGCAGTACTGCTGTCTATGCAAGACCCTCACATCTAGTAAAGTACTCATAGTTCATCATTGGTCAAAGAGTTCGATATTAACAGTCAAGCAAGCACTGAAAAGTTTATCAGTTCTGATACCTCTCCGATGATATCAGGAATCATTTTATTTGACCGCCTATTGCGGTGCTATGGTATTTCAATAAGCCCGATGACGTAGAATGGTGTGCAAAAACGTTCACGTCAGCTGGAACTAGAACCCAGACTTCACTCTTTCCGGGAGCGTGTGCTGGACCGTTGCACTACCGACGCTCGTTTCGCACACCACTCTTTCTACGCTACAACGCGTTATCTGTCAAAAGCCCACCGTCTACGGTCTGGCGTGGACAGTCACTTATCAACATTGGACCCACCTATTCGAATAAATTCAACTAAAATGATTTCTGATTGATTATTGAGGCCTAATATCTGTCAGCATAAGTGGGTTCAATGTCGATACTGACTGCTCACGCTAGACCGTAGACAATTGGCTGTTGACAGGTAGCGCGTTATAGCGTAGAAAGAGTGATGTGTGAAACGAGCGTCGGTAGTGCAGCGGTTCACCACACGCTCCCGGAAAGAGCGGAATTTGGGTTCGAGTCCCAGCTGACACAAACGTTTTTGCACACCACTCTACATCTCCGATGATACTTCACATACTACAACGAACTGTACTTCCCCAATTTCCTCAGTGGCGTAAAACAGGCAGTTCTTCTCGCAACTGTTGATCTTACTATCATACTCCTTCATGTGCTCAGTGCAAGTTTGCAGTACCAAAGTATGTAAATCTCGAGATTTTGAAAAAGCCCAGAGACATTAGCTGTATGAGAAAACTCGTCCACGGTTTCTCAATTCCCCACCTATGGGGAACGATAACGTCTGTGAATTTCTGAGCTTTTTTAACGTAGACATGGATCTTGATTGTTCGTCGTAACTCCGCACTACTTCTACTCTTAGTCATGTGCTTGCAAGTTTTTCATCAAATTAAATTTGCGATCCTCATACACGTTTGCTCAACTGCGTACGAGTACGTGAACGTAACTACTATATATCTACACGAGAAGTAATAAATCAGTCCAACGCAGTAAAAGAAAATCGTCTATCCGTTGAATTCACTTATTTTTTAGAGCTTAATTAGTTTAAATCAGCCTTCCAACCATCCATTATCAAAACTCAGTCTTGATCATCGTGTTTCCTTTTACACCACCACAATCCCTCAATCCTGCGAGCGGTCGCCTATTTTCACTATTCTCCTGATGAATCACAAACATCTTCTTACAGTTTATCCAGACATGCAGCTGCTCATTTATTTTCGATCGCAGTAATTTGAAAAAGTGAATGGTTAGACGGTAGCTAATGCTTGAATCATTCAATATGACTCACAAGTTGCTTGATCATCGAGCTTCGAATGTAGTTTCAAAGTCAGCGGTGTTGACTTCATTTCTTTTCTTTCAAAATCAGTCTTATGTAGAAAAGGAGGATTTTCCAAATGGTGGATAGCTTCACTCTTCCTGTACCAGTCTCGTCGATTAACTTCTGAAATTGTTGTGTTTCAGAAAATTGCCAATATTCATGAAACAGTGAATATAATAAGGTTATGTTACTGCTTTATGTAAATTCAGGGTAAAGCGTTTTTCTTCTTGTTACGCTATTTTTTAAACGTATTTAGCACGCCTATCTGGTCGTGCTAACCTAATTTATTTTTAGAATTAGAGAATTTATCTTATTAGTATAAAGAACATTCAATACAAGATTACAAAGTGTGTAAAATTCTTGTAAGACATTTTAATACAATCCCAATCTATGAAGATCTTAGCCTTATTTCTTTCAGCCGCTAGAAAAAGTTTCCTTGATGTAAGTATTCGCAAAATATCTGCCAGAAGCCAAATTATTACTAGACTCAACTGCGAGTCCTTTCACTGCCTCGACTCTCTTGCTTCTTATTTCCCAGAATTCCATACCAAGCCTCGCTTTTTCCTGAATTCTTTCAGATGTTTCGAAATTTAGACTGTTCAAGTATTCCCACGCCGACACGCACTGCATCCCCCCATTTTGGGGTCGAGGCGATTCGAAATCGACACAGAGTGTGGGCACATTCGCGTGTCAAGTCAGCAGCATTGCCAGCACCGTTGCGTCCCACACATCGTTTTTTAGTTGTGCACTCTATCGATTACCTGGGAACTCGAATTCAGCGCTATTCGTCCCTCATTCGGGACACTCAATTTTTCACTGTTTCTCCGAACCCAATCCTATGATATACGTTCGCAGCTAGCTGTGAAATAGTGCGCTGGGTTAACCTACTGTGGCGCCGCACACCGCACAGCGACCGCAGAAAGGCCTTATATCCTTATCGAATAGAGGTATGAATTGTCAGGCATGTGAATCAAGAAATTATATCACGACTGTGAAACCACTTCACGGTAAACTAAAGAATGAAGGAGCAAACACTTTGTCACTGATCCGAGGATGAACACAAAATCCTCAAATACATGGCGAGCAATAAGAGACGGTGTTGCCGAGGCACAAGATTGAATATCCAAAAAAGCGATTTCGGACTTTGTTCTCAGTATCGAGCCGATCCTCATATGTCTTTTGGACCATACCATTACTGCCATACAGTTTGCATTCTACTAATTTGATTGAAATTTACACACCGCGCGGCCGAAAACCGGCTCCTCATTTTTTCTTTTTGCATTTCAGGTTGACTATGTGTAGGCATTCATCGAATAATTCGGATTGTCATTCAATATTCATGAATTAATGTAATGTTGTTGAGTATAACCGAGACTTAGTATGACTACTTTTTTCCGGAAATTCTAGAGAATATTTCGTGAAATGATGTTTCAAACGAGAGCCGACGATTATGAGAGCGCTACGTGTAGCCAGAAACGGCACAAAAAGAAGACGAGAAACGATAACATGACGTTTCATCCTTCCAATCACTTTACACATCGAGTTATTGCTGACTGGCTTCATTATGTTAAATACCGTCTCTCTCTTACGGAGTTCTTTTGTTTACGAAGTTGCCCACCGATTGATGCTAAGACAAAATATAAAAGCTTAATCTACTATGTCTCATTGGGGATAGTCGTCGGAGGCGAAAAAACATAGTAAATCTCTCAAATACCTTCAAACACCTCCTTACCACCCACTTTTTTTCACGTTTTCCTCAATACTCTTGCACCAACTGGAGAAACCTCATATATTTACGAGGAAATTGCCTAAGTTTTTTGAGTAATTTTTAATTTGAAAAGTTAATTGAAATACTTAGAATGGCATTGTCTTGAAATCTTTCTGGAGTTTTCTTTTAGAGTGCATCACTGTTTTTCCTTGTAGTACTGTCCGAATTTATACAACGATTACTCGAATTCATATTACTGCAACGGACTCGCTACGACGATTGCATGTGTGATTTCTTTCTTAGGCTTCCAGATGTGAAACAAGTAGATGACTTCTACGGCCGATGGCAAGCCGTTCGGTCGGACAACATTTGATTTTCATACGCCCACCGCGTCGGATTTCCAATGCGCGCTTCGTTTTTTTTGCGTCGGTCGGCCGCGTGAACGGCCGACCGATGCAGCCGTTCGTTCGTTCGTTCATTGCGGAACATATCCTTGAAATGAAATAGCAAACCCGATACAGTACGCTCGTGCCTATCACTGCGAGTGCTACTGCTGCTGCTGATGGTGGTGGTGGTCCACTGTACTCTGTCGACGCTACTCCCTCGAAGCTTCATGATTTGTCACTCGAAACTCACGACACACCTATCCCTTTTACTGGTTCTTTTGGAAGCTGAAGAACACAAAATGTTGAATGTGGTAGGTGAAGACATTTTTGATTCCGTAATATAACTTCTAAAACGCTGTAGAGCTATGTCGCAAGTCTGGCAGTGATTTTTCAATCAGTTTAATTCTTGTACTAAGCGTCTGTCTACATTCTGCTAGGATACATTTACTACGGTAGTCTATGTAGTAGAGTAACACTGTTCTATGCCGTACAAAGGAGTGTAAAGTGGCACTACTGATTGGTTGAGTTTGGTAGGCTCATTTCATTTGATTTCGAACAATCTAAAACGAAAAACGATAATTATGCGTCCTCCACTTCGAAGAAAATATCAATAAATGGATGTGTACGCATTTCCAGCCTTCGACGGTAATGACAGAGAAATACATCGCCAGGCAAAACAGTTTAATAGATAGTTCAGATTGTTTCCGCCCTTCACTAAACATGCTATTAAAGTACGACCTCTCGGTCTAACTAGTATACAGCAATTTTCAAGTCACTAGGTACGGAATAGTATTTCTCGTTGCTACAAACTTCATAAATCGAGAACTCGGAGAGATAGAACCCGTGATTAATGTTATATTGTTTTCTGATACCATGTAAACTCAAGAATGTGCAAACTCCTCTGTCGGCTTAAATTCGCTAACAAATGAACAATTACAAGCTCAAATTGATAAGCTTTAATTGCTTATCAAAAGCGTTGTTGAAAAATCACTTTGCACTATCGTTAGTTTTGGTCGCGTCTTTCAGAGAGAGTTGCTTTTTGGTTTCAAAATATTTGCTTTGGGTGTGGTAGTTTGTTAAGATTGCAAGAGTGTAAATGTGAAAAAGTAATGTCACTGTACTGATCGCATCACCGACTGCTACACTGTTTAGTGTGGAAAAAACTAGGCAACTCGTTCTACCTATCAAAAGAAGAGGAGTTGAGATCTTGTGCGAACCGCCACTAGAGAGCGTAGGTAGCGGTTTTTTCAATCGCTGACCTTGACTCCAACAATGTACCACTAAGATTGCAGGCTCATTTGCTTTTCAAGGAACACTAGGAGAGAGGAAAAACCCCATACAGACTTCCAAGTGCCACCAAAAAATGAAGCGCAATGCAAAAACTTTATATATATATATATATATATATATATATACATATATATATATAATGCATATATAAAGGATAAAAAATTCTCGGCGTTGATAATTCTCTGAGGAATAGGTCATGCGTTCGACGCTACATTGAGCACCTTTGAAGGGGAGTGAAAGAATTTTTGGTTCCTACGATACTCTCGAGCCTACAGTTGTACTGAGTCAGTGATGTTATCTTTTCCAACAAGTTTCGTATCAGTTTGCCGACTCACGAGAGGAAGGCTTGGCAAACCTGGGATGCAAGGTGGAACTAAAGGCCATCTGTATGATAGAGCTTATAAGGTGAGTTTAAATCAGCCACTTTTATCTTTTTAAAATCGAAGTTGTTGAATAATTATGTTCTAATGATTCAGCAAGAGCCAAATACAACCTTGACCGTTGAACAGCCAAAAAAATTATTTTTCAGGATCAATAAAAACTTTGACATCTTTGTGACTCATCTTAGAATTGATCAGTAACTCGCTAAATTTATTCTCACATACGCCCGCATACATGAGTATTAGGGAAAAATAGCATAGACGATAAGATCTCTATTGGAAGACTTTCCAAAATTGAAACAATCTCGGGTGGACGGCTAGCGGGTGTCGATTTACACGGCCTATCCATCTACGTTTCGTGTTTTTGAGCACTTGAAAAAGTGATGAAAATCGTAGGAGATTTGATGTCTTTCCTCACAGTACGCGTTGTTCACAAA